CCAGGACCCCCAAACCCCCCCAGGACCCCCAAAATTCCCCCCAACCCCCCCAGACCTGCAGGTGGGTGATGTTGTGGTCGATGTTCATGGTGGAGGTCTCGCAGTTCTCCGCGATGTATTTGTAATCCTGCGGGCACGGCTCCTCGTCCACGCCGTTCACGCACGGGATGGGAACGTTCTCGTGGCCGCGGGCCACGTCCCTGAGCCGGGGGAGAGCGGGAATTCAGCGGGATCCCGGGAAAAACGGGGAAAACGGGGAAAATCCCGCGGAAATCCGGCGGGAAAACGGCGAAAATCCCGCGAAAAAACGGCGAAAAAAGGGCGAAAAACGGTGGAAATATGGCTGGAAACGGGGAAATCCTTGGAAAAATGGGGAGGTGAAACTTGGAATTCAGAGGGGATGGGGGAATTCCGGGGGAAAAACGGGAAAAACGGGGAAAATCCAGCGAAAAACGGGGAAAATCCAGCGAAAATCCCGCGAAAATCGGGTGAAAAACGGAGAAATGACGGGGAAAAATGATGGAATTGTGGGGAAAGTTCGGCTGGAAATGGGGAAATTCTTGGAAAAATGGGGGGTGAGACTTGGAATTTATTGGGAATGGGGGAATTCCGGGGAAATGTGGGAAAAACTGGGAAAAAACGGTGGAATCCCCGCGAAAAACGGTGAAATTATGGCGAAAATCCGGGGAAAAATGGGGAAATTTTGGGGAAAGTTTGGCTGGAAATGGGGAAATCCTTGGAAAAATGGGGGGTGAGAGCCGGGATTTATCGGGAATGGGGGAATTCCAGAGAAAAATGAGGGAATTCCAGTGAAAATCCGGTGAAAAACGGGGGAATTGTGGTCAAAATACGGTAAAAAAAGGGCAGAATCCTTTCAAATCCCCCCAAAAAAATCCTGGAAAAATCTGGAAAAAATCCGAAAAAAATCCCCAAAAATTCCCCAAAATTGTCCCAAAAATCCCCCCAAAATTCCAAAACAAATCCTTAAAAAATCCCTAAAGATTCCCAAAAAGTTCCCCAAAAATTCCCAAAAAATCCCCCCAAAAATGCCTAAAAAAATCGCAAAAAAAATTCCTGAAGAAATCCAAAAAAATCAGAAAAAAATAAAAAAAAAATCCTAAAAAAATCTAAAAAATTCCCAAAAAATTCCCAAAAACGTTCCCAAATAATTCCCAAAAAATTCCAAAGAATTTCCCAAAAAAATTCCTAAAAATTGGCAAAAAAATCCCAAAAAAATCCTTAAAAAATCCGATAAAAATCCCGAAAAAATTCCGAAAAAAGTCCGAAAAAATCCAAAAAAAATCCTAAAAAAAATCAGAAAAAAATCCGAAAAATCCCTAAAAAATTCCCAAAAAATTCCAAAAAATTTCCCAAAAATTCCAAAAAAAACTCGCAAAAAATCCCAAAAAATCCTTTAAAAATCCCGAAAAAATTCCGAAAAAAACCACAAAAAAGTCTGAAAAAATCCAAAAATAATCCCAAAAAAATCCCAAAAAAATCCGAAAAAAATCCTAAAAAATCCCGAAAAATCCCCGAAAAATCCCTGAAAATTCCCGAGGAATTCCAGAAGGTTCCAGAGGCGTTTCCCCACCTGCTGACGATGCGCTCGGTGTGCAGGGCGCGCCCGGCCGCCCCCAGCCGCAGTTTGCGGTTGAGCTGCGGCGCCACCCAAAAAACCCCAAATCCCTAAAAAATTCCCCAAAAAATTCCAAAAAAATTCCAAAAAAATTCCCAAAAATTCCCAAAAAACTCCCAAAAAAATCTCGCAAAAAATCCCAAAAAATGCCTTAAAAATCCCGAAAAAATTCCGAAAAAAACCCCGAAAAAATCGGAAAAAAGTCAAAAAAAATCCAAAAATAATCCCAAAAAAATCCGAAAAAAATCCTAAAAAATCCCTAAAAAATCCCGAAAAATCCCCGAAAAATCCCTGAAAATTCCCGAGGAATTCCAGAAGGTTCCAGAGGCGTTTCCCCACCTGCTGACGATGCGCTCGGTGTGCAGGGCGCGCCCGGCCGCCCCCAGCCGCAGTTTGCGGTTGAGCTGCGGCGCCACCCAAAAAACCCCAAATCCCAAAAAAAATCCCTAAAAAAATCCCCAAAAAATTCAAAAAAAATTCCCAAAAATTCCCAAAAATTCCCAAAAAAATCTCGCAAAAAATCCCAAAAAATCCTTTAAAAATCCCGAAAAAATTCCGAAAAAAAACCCGAAAAAATCGGAAAAAAGTCCAAAAAAATCCAAAAATAATCCCAAAAAAATCCCAAAAAAATCCCAAAAAAATCCCCAAAAAATCCCAAAAAAATCCTAAAAAATCCCGAAAAATTCCCGAAAAATCCCCGAAAATTCCCGAGGAATTCCAGAAGGTTCCAGAGGCGTTTCCCCACCTGCTGACGATGCGCTCGGTGTGCAGGGCGCGCCCGGCCGCCCCCAGCCGCAGTTTGCGGTTGAGCTGCAGCGCCACCCAGACCTCGGAGCGCTCCGGGGTCAGATCCAGGGGGGAATCGCCCTCCTTGTTCCGGACCTCGGGATCGGCGCCCCGGGACAGGAACAGGCTGCCAAAGAGGTGGGGAGGGGGTCAGGGACCACCCACCCAAATTCCAGG